TCTTTCCCTCCCTCAAGGGTTTCAGGAAGAAAATGAGGTCCCTCTCTCATCTCTTCTCCTGGTGAGAAGATTCCACTCAGCTTCCTTTGGTGGTGTGTTTTACCAAAACAATAGATCTTTTTGTTCTCCTTTCCCAAATATGAAATCATAGCATTGAATGTGCTCTTTCACACGCCACAGGGGAGATTCAGGTGTGCGGGAGCTGTGGAGGGCGGGTGCTCCAGGCACAAGCCCTGGAGAAGGGGGTCCCTGACGTCCTCCTCCCACCTTCCCCATGCCCGGATGCGCTCATGCCCGCCCCTCCAGATTGGGGCTTCATCGTCTGAATCCCCAGTGAACAGGTCAAAGGACCAACTAGCTAGTGAGCACCCAGCTCAGTTTACAACCCCACTTTCTCAGCTACCGAAACTCGGTCCCTCTCTAAGCTTCATCCCGGGCAGTGGGAGAGCAGAATCCAGCCAAGGCCAGCCCTTGCGGGGAGAGCTCTGCAGGGAGGTGGAGGCTCCTCCGCGCTCGGGACAAGGAGGCACAGGCAACTGCAAAACGAAAGGTTTTTATTGAAAAATATCAAGTGGCCCTTTTCAAGACTGCGGGTCCCTGCTCAACGAGGGCTGTCAGGCCGCAGCCCGACGGGGCGAACAAGTAGCGGCAGTCACCCCAGCTCCGCGCTCCAGAGGGGCAAGGTTTCATGGTCCATGCTGGCTGGCCCGTGGGCTCTGCAATCCCGCTCCCCGGCCCGAGGAGGGGTGGCAGCTGGGGAAGGGGGCGCCGGGAGGTCCCCTCCCAGTCCAGCGAGAGAGTTGCCTGGCATCTGGGTCGGCTGGTCTCCGATGCAAGGCCGCACGCAGGACTGGTGGGCGCGCCATCTCGTGGGAGTGGTACAGGCCTCCCGCGGCTGCTCACTCAGACGTAGTCCTTGCGGTCGTAGGCTGTGCCGGTGCCGGTGCCCGGGCCGGTGGAGCGCGGCGCCGAGTAGAGGACCTTGGCGGGCTTGTATTTCTTCTCGCGCGGCGGGCACGAGCAGCAGAGTAGCGCGCCCCCCAGCAGCTGCAGCGCCGCGGCCGCCCAGCCCGCGTACAGGGCTGAGCCCATCTCGCGCTTCTGTGCATCTGGCACCAAGGGGTTGTAGAATTCCCGGATGATGGTGTTGGCCGACCAGGACACCGGCACGAGGGTGAGCAAGGCGGCCAGCAGGAAGAGCACGCCCGCCACGATGGTGATCTTGGCCTTGGCCGTTTCGTCCTGCACACAGTTGGTGCACTGGGCACCCACGAGCGCCACAAGGAGCCCGAAGGCGGCCAGCAGGATGGCGACGACGATGAGGGCGCGGGCCGCCTGCAGGTCCTGAGGCAGCGCCAGCAGCGAGTCGTACACCTTGCACTGCATCTGACCCGTGCTCTGCACCACGCAGTTCATCCACAGGCCCTCCCAGGTGATCTGCGCCGTGATAATACTGCTGCCGATGAAGGCCGTCACGCGCCACATGGGCAGCGCGCAGCACACGATGGTGCCCAGCCAGCCCATGACGGCCAGCGAGGTGCCCGCGATCTCCAGGCCCATGGACATGGCTGCCGCTCCAAGGCCGTCACTGGCGGGCGGCTCCGGGTGCGGGACGACGAGGGGCCGGGGCCGCTGGGGCCTGGGCGGGAGAAGCGGTGCGCCGACGGACTGATGCTCGAATTGATGGACCGACGGAAAGACACACGGATGGCGCGCGCCCTAAAGGGTCCGCTCTGCCCGCTCGCGCAGCGGCTGCGCCTGCACCTGCCTGTGGCTTTGTAGGCGGGCGGCAGCGACTGGGTTGGCCCTGGGCTGGGGCAGGTTAGTCTTCGATCCTGGCCCAGCGCTCCGGCGGGGGAGGGAGGGGCGGAGCCGCCCTCTCCCGGGCCTGGGGACAGTGACGTGGCCCCTCTTCCCACCTTCACTAGGCGCCCTGGGAGGAAGGACTTGGCCAGGAGTGGCTCACGGCGCGGGGATGGGGGGTGCCAAGAGAGGGCGGGGCCGAGACCTGCGCCCCCTCCCCTCGCTCCTGGTTCCCCACTGCTCGGAAACGAATTCTACGGGGTGTGGGGTGAAAAGCACAAAGTGCTGGACACTCCCCCTGCCACCCCCAGCATTTTCAGCGCCGTTGGCACGGGAGGCGTGGGGAAGGGGGCGCTGCCAGCTGCCAGGGATCCGCGGGGACAGGGAGGGCCTACTGTGGGCGTGGCCGCGGCTGTTTTCCCAGAGTGGGCCGCTGCCCCGGGAGCTGCGCACCTGCTCCTCAGTCCCTCTGGCCTCTGAGGCAGCGCTCCCAGCGCAGGATCCCGGCCTGATCCAGGCCCATGGAGTTGCCATCCCTGGACGTCTGGACTCGGCGGAAGCCAGGGACCACCCGCAAAGGCGCCCAGAAGACACCCCTGAGCGAGTGCTGTACTCAGATTCTCTAGCCCCTCTCCAGCTCTCAGCTCTTAACACTCGCAGTGACCCTGGATCCCTTTAGCTGAGCTGCTCTCGCCTCCCAGAGCCGCCCCCATTGAGTCCCTTCCCTTCACAGAGCCCTGGTCCTCTCTCCTGCTGAGCCGGGGGCGGGTGGGGGTGGGGGAGTCAGAACCGGGATCCACCTTAATGAAACGGTGGTGAAAGAGGTTTGATCCAGGCAAAAGCGGGAAGTCAGAGACGTTACCTGCAGTAGCCTTGCTCCCACACCTGGGCTATCCCTCGCCCTGCTTAGAGCCCTACAGAGTTGGCCTTGGAGGGTCTGTGCCCCACGTTCCTCGCTTCCCCTCACCTCAGGGCCCTCATTCTTGCTGTGTCCTCTGCCTGGGACATTGCAGAGACCATATGGCTCACTCCTTTCACCTTTCATGTTTTTGTTCCCAGCCAGCGCTTCCCTAACCACTATTTAAAATCACAGCTGGGACTTCCCTGGCGGTGCAGTGGTTAAGAATCTGCCTGCCAATGCAGGGGACACAGGTTCCATCCCTGGTCTGGGAGGATCCCACGTGCCATGGAGCAACTAAGCCCGTGCGCCACAGCTAATGACTGCACTCTAACTGTGGGCGTGGCCGCGGCTGTTTTCCCAGAGTGGGCCGCTGCCCCGGGAGCTGCGCACCTGCTCCTCAGTCCCTCTGGCCTCTGAGGCAGCGCTCCCAGCGCAGGATCCCGGCCTGATCCAGGCCCATGGAGTTGCCATCCCTGGACGTCTGGACTCGGCGGAAGCCAGGGACCACCCGCAAAGGCGCCCAGAAGACACCCCTGAGCGAGTGCTGTACTCAGATTCTCTAGCCCCTCTCCAGCTCTCAGCTCTTAACACTCGCAGTGACCCTGGATCCCTTTAGCTGAGCTGCTCTCGCCTCCCAGAGCCGCCCCCATTGAGTCCCTTCCCTTCACAGAGCCCTGGTCCTCTCTCCTGCTGAGCCGGGGGCGGGTGGGGGTGGGGGAGTCAGAACCGGGATCCACCTTAATGAAACGGTGGTGAAAGAGGTTTGATCCAGGCAAAAGCGGGAAGTCAGAGACGTTACCTGCAGTAGCCTTGCTCCCACACCTGGGCTATCCCTCGCCCTGCTTAGAGCCCTACAGAGTTGGCCTTGGAGGGTCTGTGCCCCACGTTCCTCGCTTCCCCTCACCTCAGGGCCCTCATTCTTGCTGTGTCCTCTGCCTGGGACATTGCAGAGACCATATGGCTCACTCCTTTCACCTTTCATGTTTTTGTTCCCAGCCAGCGCTTCCCTAACCACTATTTAAAATCACAGCTGGGACTTCCCTGGCGGTGCAGTGGTTAAGAATCTGCCTGCCAATGCAGGGGACACAGGTTCCATCCCTGGTCTGGGAGGATCCCACGTGCCATGGAGCAACTAAGCCCGTGCGCCACAGCTAATGAGCCTGCACTCTAGAGCCCGTGAGCCACAACTACTGAAGCCCGCGCACCTAGAGCCCGTGCTCCGCAGCAAGAGAAGCCACCGCAATGAGAAGCCCACGTGCAGCAACGAAGACCCAATGCAGCCAAAAGTAAATAAATAAAATAAATTTATTTTAAAAAAATTAAAAAATAAAATCACAGCTGGGAATTCCGCATCGGTCCAGGGGTTAGGACTCCCCGCTTTCACCGCAGTGGCCCAGGTGCAATCCCTGGTGGGGGAACTAAGATCCCGCAAGCCACGTGGTGCGGCCAAATAAATAAATAAAATCGCAGCTATTCACCCCACTATGTCCTGTCCCCTTTTTATACTTTACATTCTTTTTTATCATTTAACACCATCCATCATACTCTATATTTTTCTTACTTATTTTTTATTCTCTCTCTCTCTGCTCTAGTATGTCAGCTCCACTGGGACATCCAGAAGATCCCCAAACAGGCAAGGGTTTCTGTTGGTTTTATTCACTGCCGTATCTCCAGTGCCCAGAACGGTGCTGGGTCCTCAAGAGAAAGTTGATTTAGAAAGTTCATGCAAAAACATCACTTTCTTGCATT